TCGAAACTCCGAACGTTAAAAAGAGAAACATAAGTTAGGAAATCAACGGCATCATGCTACAAATATGGTCACCGTTATTTCCAGGGACACCATTGCCAAAATTGAACTATGATAGCAGTAAAAGTGTCCAACCAAGAAGACTTGTTGGAAAAGGTGCCAGATGAGGAGACAATGGATGAAAAAAATCCATACAAGCAATGGGAGGAATTTCAACAAGCAATACCCTTAAAATCAAGAGGATACTGTCTGGATGTGATGTGCTAGTTTCGCTAGACAATGGGAATTTACACTCACTTCTGGATATAAGTGCGGCAAAAGGAGTTAGAACTCAAGTAGTTAACAACAAACAATTGATGGTAATGGTAGCAAATGTGCTAAGAATCACTAGTAGTGTTGCGTGTTCAGATGTTAGTTAATGTAAGGTTACAAGTTCAAGTAAGATTTTCAAATAATTCAACTCGGCTGTGACATGATATTGGGAGTAGACTGGATGAAGCAGCTTAATCCTATGGTGATCGATTTTGTACATGCTACTGTCAAATTCCATTAAGCTTACTCGCTCATGGTTCTAAAAGGGAATGACACCATGGGACAGATGAAAGAGATAATGCCAAGAATTGGAGCAAACAGAAGAACAGCCTGGAATGAAAGACCATATTCCTAATTATGGAAATTGATCCAAAAGAATTCAAGAATGTGTTTGAGGAACCCTGGGGACAATCGCCACCCAGGGAGTTTGATAATTCTATACTTTTAATCAAGGAATGAGCAACAGTCAACACTCGGCCATACAAGTATTCTTTTCTCCAAAAAAATTGAAATAGAAAAACAAGTGCAGAACATGTTATAAGAATCAATTATTCAGTCCAAGTGCAGCCTGTTCTCATCTCTAGTCTTGCTAGTCAAAAAGAAAGATGGAACCTAGAGATTTTGTATAGATTAAAGGGAACTTAACTCGCTGACAATCAAAGATAAGTTCTCCATTCCCACTATTGATGATTTACTTAATGAATTGCATGGCGTCTCTATTTTCTCAAAACTTGACCTAAGAGCAGGATATCATCAGATTCATATGAAAGAGGAAGACATTCATAAAACAGCATTTCAAACTCATCAATGCCACTATGAGTTTAGGGTGATGTCATTTGGTCTCATTAATGCCCTAGCCACTTTCCAGGCTCTCATGAATCACGCCTTCAGAGAATTTTTCAGAAACTTTATTCTTATCGTTGTTGACAACATACTCATTTACAGTGCCAATGAACAAGAATATTTGTCTCATCTTGAAGTACTATTGCAGTTGCTATGGAAACATAAGTTGTATGCAAAGAAATCTACATGTTGATTCCTGCAGACTCAAGTAGCATATCTGGGGCACGTCATTTCGGAGTACGTAGTTCAAACAGACCCCAAAAAAATTGAGCTATGGTCAATTGGCTAACCCCACAAACTCTCAAAGCTCTTAGGGAATTTTCGGGTCTAATAGGCTATTATTGAAAATTTATTAAGCAATATGAGGTAATGGCCAAACTCCTTCAGATTTGTTAAAGAAAGGAGCATTGCAGTGGAACCTTGCAGCTGAACAAGCCTTCAGCCAGCTAAAAAGAGCAATGACTTGTAACCCTGTATTGCAGCTTCCAAAGTTTGGGGATTCATTCATTATTGAAACAGATATCAGTGACAAAGGAATTGACATTGTCTTAATACAAGAAGGATAACCAATAACCTTAATAAGCAAAGCCTTGAGTCCCAAAAATCAATCCAAGTCCATATACAAGAAAAACCTCATGATTGATTTTATGTAGTCGACCAATGGCGTCATTACTTGGAAGGAATTCCTTTCATCATTCAGACAGATCAGCACAGCCTCAAGTACCTACTGGATCAAAGAGTCTCTTCTATGATCCGACAGAAGGGTATTTTGAAATATTGGGGTTAAATTACCTCATCGAATACAAGCAAGGGACTATAAATAAGTTGCAGATGCCTTATCCAAAAGGGAACACGAGGATCGTCCAGCAGAAGTCCTTTAGCATCTAAAGGTTATGATGGTAGCTCTGTCATGTAACAACTGATCAAATAACTTTTGATTTCTCGGCAAAGAAAGCTACCTTTCCAACTCTCTAATGGACTTCTGCGATACAAGGGGAGGCTAGTCATTGGCAACAATAAAGGATTACAGCATCAGCTCCTTCACCAATGCCACAACTCCGTCATATGAGATCATTCGGGCATCAAGGCCATCTATTAGCGAGTCAAACAACATTTTTATTGGTCCCACATAAAGAAGCAAGTTACTCAGCGGGTGCAACAGTGTGACATTTGTCAATGCTGTAAAAATGAAAAGGTGGCCGTTCCAGGACTCTTGCATCCATTATCTATATCATCCCAAGCTTGGGACTCACATATTAATGGACTTCATTGAAAAACTGTCCAAGTCCAAGAATAAAGTTACAATTCTGGTGAAAATAGACTCGTTCACAAAGTATAGCCACTTTATTCCTTTACGACACCCTTTTTAGGCCCAATGGGCAACCCAATTTTTCATGGAGACTGTTCACAAATTGCATGGAGTGGCGCAAGTCATAGTATTAGACAGGGATCTCTTGTTCACTAGTCTTTTTGGGAATGAATTTATGAAAGCAGTTGGAGCCAGCCTTCATTACAACACTGCATAACATTCTCAAACAAATGATCAGACCGAGCGCCTTAATCAATGCCTGGAGATGTATTTGAAGTGCATGGCTCATGATCAAGCTATGGGCAAAATGGTTATCCGCTGCTGAATAGTGGTACAACACGACCTACCACACAAGCCTCAATGTGACCCCCTTCCAAGCTCTCTATGGATATGTACCTCCCCATTTTTTGGATATTGCTGACTTTTCACTGGTTTCACTATTTGTAGAAGAATTACCACCAGAAAAAGAAGATGCCAAGAAAATGATTAGACAACAACCTTGAAGGCCCAATCCTGAATAAAGCAATATGCAGATAAAAATCGCTGTGGAAGAAGTTTTAAAGAACTAGGTGCGACTGAAACTGCAACCGTACAAGCAAGGTACTGTAAGGCAAGCAAACGGATCTAAGTTATCACCGTGCTTCTACAGACCATTTCAGATAATGCAAAAGATTGGATCAGTAGCTTACAAGCTCCAGCTGTCTTGTGACTCTCGAATCCACATGATGTTTCACGTATAACAACTCAATAAGTATATTGAAAGAGGAGACAGGGTGATAAAGAATTTACCAGTCAATACAAGAGAGGACATACTCAGCGTTCAACCCAAAGAAGCACTACAACACTAGGCCATCATGCGAGCATCACTACCTGTGAAACAACTGCTAATACAATGGGCAGACACCACAACAAAAGAATATACCTGGAAAGATTATGAGAATCTACAGCAATAGTTTCTATATCTCAACCTTGGGGACAAGGTTGATGCTCAAGGGGACAGTATTGTCAAGAAGCCGTCTCTAGTAGTCTACTACAGAGGGAAGGGCAAAAAGAGAAATTTGCAAACAGGGGTAAAATAATCTTTTCACTTATAGGGTTAGTGTTGTTGCTGTAACTGGTCAAAAATGACAGAAAAGGACCCTTAGCCGCCGACCATTCGACCGTTGCAACGACCTGGCAGTTCCCGCTTCCCTTTCCCACTCATTTTCCTCACCACTTGTAGCCTATAAATAGGCCTCTCCACTATGAATGATAAGCATCGAAAGACAATCAAGTTACCTAAAGAAATCTCTCTTCTTTCTCTGTTATTTTCTCTCCTTTTTCTGTCAGTATGAAGCCATGAACAAGGCTTCTAACAATGGTTTAGAGAATTGTCAACATATTCAAGAGTGTGTAACTTCATAAAGTGCAAGCATATCCGAATAAAATAATGATCTGGCTTATAAACTTTTAATATCCCAAAAATTAAGATGATATATAATTTCTTAATTTATACATAAAATTATCAAAACATGTGGCTTCTTAAGAAAATTGAGCAGAATATGCATAATATAATTAGGTTTACTTCTAGAATGACTTCGGCTGGTTCATGATTATTGTAGCAAAATGATTTATAACTTAATGCACAATTTAAATGCATAACTTGTATTCCATATATTGTAATTTAGAGGTAATATATTATAAAATCAATACAGAGCAGTGCTTTAAAACACCAAGAGTCAACATCTCTTATCTCAGTTTAGTTGCACCTTTTTAGTAAATTCATTACCAAGTGAAATAACTGTAACCAAGTGACCTTTATTATCATTTAAACACTTGTCATTCCATTAGCTAGTTAGAAATAATCATGTATTATGACAAAAAGCTCAACTCTTTTCAAGTTCCTACCTTACTCCATGTCCTCTCTTTGAAAAAAATAAAAATCATGTATTAATTAATTGAATTATAATCAGGCATCTTATTGTATTGATAACTCACATAATGAGGTGGCTTCATGAGAAAGCAATATCATAGATAATTCAATTTAAGGTTTTTGTAAATGAAAACAAATTCCAACAACTTCCCAAATGATTAGGTCTAGATAAATTTATCATCAGTTTATTCAAAGTTAAATTCATCAAAAATAAATATGTAAAAGAAGGATACTGGTCGTTGAAAGCTTTATTCTGCTCGGGGTCAAGAACCTCTAGCAGAGCAGAAGCAGGATCTCCTCGCACATCAGAGCCCGTCTTATCGATTTCATCCAGTAGCACGACTGGATTGCAAACTCCTACCCTCTTTAATCCAAAATAAACATGAAGCAACATCAGTCGTAAATTATTATCGTACGAAAAAAAAATTACAGCTATTTAAGTTTTTCTTCTAAAAAAAATGATAAAAATAACAGGCAAATGCAAAATCTTTGCAGTTAAAAATATTTAAGGTCTAACAGCACATCCTATTGGAAGCATTAAGCATAGGGTCGACAGAACTAGCCATAAGACAGTTGATCACATGATCTTCATTTTAGCCACTAAGGGTTTAGTCAATTATAAAAGACAGCTGAATATAAATGTAGAAAAAAATGATAAACTGCATTCATATATCGTTTCCTTTGTAACAGATAGTATCCCTAGAATAAGACTGAGATTTTCATTATGATAGAATATCCCCTAAATCATGGGATCTCCAAATAATTAATTTTCATTTTTTATAACTTGGGTTTTTGTGTATATATATAACTTTTATGTATTATAAAATCAATAATAAGACATCAAATTCTTCTACATTGTATCAGAGCCGTAAACATCATACTCCAGAATTTTTTTCGACTTTTATTGCCAACAAACAAGAAACCTTTAACCGACCTTCATAGCCCGAAAACACACAGCAGCACCCAGCCCACTGTTGCATGCAACCTTCCAGATGCACGGCCCACTGCCGCATACAACTGCCCAGCTGCTCGGCTCCCTGCCAGGCTCTCCACCCTCTGCCACATGCACTACTCACAACTACGTGCACAGCTAGCCACGCACGGACAGCTGCGCACTGACCAGCCGTCCACTAGCCATTCTTCAATCTTCACGCCTTGGTTCAGCTGCACTGCAACCGAAAATTCGGGCTTCATTGTAGGCAGTCCTGCTCCCAAGACCAGCCTTCACAGGTGGTGGCTCCTCTGCTTCACAAAATCTGCTTAGAGACAATTCCCCCTCCATAGAAGATCTCAGAGATTACAGGTACTTGGTCATTAGCATATTTAGGTAAAAGTTTCATTCCCTATTAGATTAAATGCCTTGGTTACTACTTTTTTCCAACACTTGGATCATCGACTTGGGACCTATCAATCATATGATACACTCGTCAAACATTTGTTCACATATTTCTCATGCCCAAGTACCAAAAAGGAAAGCCACAACTTATGACTCTTTGATCATCGTAGCAGGGATAGGAGATGTCAAAAGAAGCTCATCTCTGACCCTAAAAATGTTCCTCATATTCCTAAAATCTTGTTTCCTTCTTTATTCAAAGGTCTAGATGTTGAATATTTTTGCTGTAAAGTGTGGGAACTAGATAAAGTCAAACGCATTCCTTTCCTAATTAGTATAAAAGAAGTTCTATTCTTTGATGGCCAGGGTTCATTTAAGGGACAGCCCTGACACCCTTGTCTGGAAACTGAAGAAGAATGGCAGATTCTCCATCAGTTCTTTCTACAAAAAGTTCACTATTGTAAGGGGCAGGAACATTTCTGATCAACAAATTTCCTTCCATTTTAGATCCATTTGGAAAACTAATGCTCCCTCCAGGATTGCTTTCTTTACTTGGGAAGCTACAAAGAAAAAATTACTGACTTTGGATAATTTGATGAGGAGGCAGAACTTTGGTTAACAAGTGTTTCCTCTGCAAATGCAATGCCGAGCGCTGTAATCATATCCTTTTATGGTGCCCTTTCTCTACAAACTTGTGGCCCATGATTTACAGCTTGATGGGTATTAATTGGGTTATGGTGGGTTCTATTTATAATGAACTTTTGGCAGGAGAAGGTTTAATATCTAACAACAAAGCTGCTCGCCTTAATTCTCTTAACATGTTTTAGACCATATGGAAAGAAAGAAGTAAACGAGCTTTTGAGGGTATAGAAAATACTGTTATAAATATTATAAATAGATTATTGCATTATTTTGGCTCCTTACTTTTGGGTCGTAATTTATTATCTTTAGATAATGTTGGAGTGGTTATTAATATGCTCATTGATATGTAAAATCCTTTTGTAAATGGGTGGTACCCTCTTAGTACCTTTTTTATACATTTCTATCTTTTATCTCAAAAAAAAATTCTTTTTTTCTAATTTATATTAATATTTGAGACCCTCTACTCCCCAAGTCTCTGGGACAAGATTGTTTGTTTTATTGGTTGATGATTGTACTTGTACCACTTGGATTTTTTTGCTCAAACATAAGTCAAAAGTCAATACCCATCCTCCTAAATTTTTGCTTCATGATTTAGAAGGTCATTCAAAATAAAAAATAAAAAGATTTAGAAGGGATAATGCTAAAGCCTATTTCAATAACGTCCTAACCCATCTTTTCACAATGAACCAATAATACATGAATCATCTTATGTCAATACCTCACAACAAAACAGAATTGCAAAAAGGAAAAATAGCCACCTTCTTGAAACCACCCGAACCTTTTTGGTTAAGAAAATGTACTTAAATCATTCTTGAAAGAAGTTGTTCTCACAGTCACGAATATTACAAATCGGTTACCTTCAAGAGTCTTGTGATACAAGAGTCCTGTGGATATTCTCTCCACATATTATCCCTAGTTTGATGCGTATTATTGTCCATATTCACAGTCCAAATTTGAGAGAAATTAGATCTGAAGACATTAAGATGTGTTCTTATGAATTACTCTTCAACTCAGAAAGAATACAAGTGTTACCACCCTTCATCAAAAAGGTTCTATATCTCAAGGCGGATGTTAGGTTCCATGAGCACGAGTCTCATTTTATTACTCCTTATCTTTAGGGTGAAAATCTGACAATGGAAGATAAGGATCTTTTCTTGACTTGCCGACACTACTTGTGTTTAATCACGAGTCCTCGCATCGCTCCTATGTGTCAAATCATGTATCTCGTTTTTTTTTTTCTTTTTGAAACATCCAAATCATGTATCTCAACTAGTGCTAAATCCTATACTGAACGAGTGTCAAATCCTGTATCTAAACTAGTGTCAAATCATGTGAATGAAAATCTTGTCTGAACAAGTGCCTAACATTCCCCATGAAAGAATAGATTATGCCCTTGGAAAGAATGTGATATTGGGCAAAAGCAAGGTGTTTCTAACGAAGAAAGTGATTATCCTAGAACCGGTGCAAGTCCTAGACTCCAACTGAGATCCTAAGAATATAGTAAAAAAAATTCTAATCCTTCAAGACTGAATCCCATGTGAGCAATAGTAAACATGAACTAATCATTATTGTTAGAAAATGGATTAGAGAGTGCATAAAACGACCCTTGCACCCCCTTCACACTTGTCATTTAAAAATTTTTCAGCACTTCATAAGGTCGTCCTTGTTAGCTTGAACACTATTATCAAACCCGTAACCTTATTTGAGGCTTTGTCTAATGAGGAATGCAAGCAATAGATGAATGTGGAGATTTGACGGAATTGGTGAAGTTACTAGCAAAAAAAAAGTGGTGGGATGCAAATAGGTGTATAAAACGAAGTATAGAGCAAATGGATCGATTGAAAAGATACAAAGCAAAGTTGGCACCCAAAGGATATACTCAATTTATGGAATTGATTATCTAGAGATTCGGTTACAAAGATGAACGCTGTTAAATATTCTTGTAATTAGTAGCAAATTATGGTTGAGAATTGCAGCAACTTGATCTTAAAAGTACATTCCTACATGGAGAACTGGAGGAAGAAATTTCTATTGAGGTCCTGCCAAGTTATGGAGGAAATTTGGCTGCATGCAAGTTGAAGAAGACCCCTTTTAAGGACTTAAGCAATCACTAAAAGCATGGTTTTGTCAAACTGCAAGAGTTATGATGGAAATGGATATAAGCAACACAAAAGAGATCATACATTGTTCATTAAACACTCACCTTTAGGAGGAGTCACAGCTTTTCTTCTATATGTTGATGACATAATAGTAACAATGGATGATAATAAGGAAAGACAATATCAAGTCAGTACATGGCTAAGGAATTTGAGACCAAGGCATTTACAGTTGAAATATTTTCTTGGAATTGAGATAGCTCACTCTAGACAAGGCATTTTTACCTCCAAAAAAATGTATGTTACTGGTCTCCTTA